ATTATTTTTATCTAAAATTAATAGTAAGTTTGGATTGAGAGGAAGATGGAGGAGGGGAGAGGATAAGAAAGTTTTTTAATTAATTAAATTATAATATTTTTAAAATATTATAATTTGATTGATTAAAAATAATTTTTTACTCCTCCATTTCTCTCTACTAAAACGTACGAATAAAGGTAGATAAACTTAAATTGTAGTTATGCATGTATAATGTAAGAATTAGCTAAATTAAATATATTTATATTATATTTTAATAACTGAATTAAGATATGTGCTAAAAAATTTGTTAAACAAAATGTATATCAATCATTTTCTTTCTAAATATTATACTATTTTTTTATTAAAAAAATACTAGATTTATATAACCCTTAACATTTTTGTGTGTGCTAATACTAATACATACCCAGACTCGTCTCTCCCAGGTTGCTACGAACTAATTAAGGTCACCACAGACTAAATCTAATTAATAACCTTTAGATTAATTTGATTGCTTTTCATTTTTCTTTTTTTAACCAAGTAGCTTTATCTAATCAAATCATACATGTCTGTGGCTGTGGATGCCTGATGCCTTTGGGGAACAAAAGATGCCTTTTTGAGTTTTTGTTCCTCATAATTTGCACTACTTACAAAATTAGAAAAGCTGGCTCAAGGTAATTGAAAACTAATTTTTTAAGGGATGAACGACCATCTAAATCTGGTAAATTTCAAGAAGGGAAAACCTTGGCACTGGCTGAGGCAAAAGCGTGAAATAGGTCCTTAGTTCAACCTAATTTGGTTTTCAGATTCCATCCCCAAGCACAGCCTCATTGGTTAATTAGCTGTTTTAAATAGGTTGACCACTGAAGCAAGGCATAAGAAATGGATGGCAACTATTAATGACAATAAAAACAAGGCATAAAAACAACAACAAGAAGAAAAGTTTGAAGAGAGAGAGAGAAACACAAAAACTAATAGAGTTGAGGAATTTATGTTAAGAGTAACGATATTTGAGTCCAAGTTGTTGGATTGAAGAAGAGGTTGAACATTGTGGCTTACCATATTATTCGCTAACCTAACTTTTCTTTGAAAAAAAATCAAAATAAAAAGAGTTTAGTTGTTTCTAATTCATTCTAATTTGTTTTCACTCATCTCGCCTCTTCCCCCATTCCCTAGCAGTCATCTTATACTAATTCTTCACTTCCTTCACTTCATTGACTAGTCCATTAGTTATTAAAAACTAAGTACTGCTCACTTGAGTTTATTGATTTTAAAAAGTGATTAAAATTTTGTTTGAGATAAGCTGAACTTAGATTACTTATTAGTAGTTAAGTTTTTAATCAAGTTTATATTTAATTTTTATGTGAAATTTGATTGTGTTGGGTTTAATTTTTTTGTGGAATATGGTTTTTATGAAAATACAATGCAATTTCTAAAAAAAAAAAATTGAACTTCTTGGGGTTTGTAATTTCTAAATTTTTTTCAAAAAAATTGCCCTTAATAGGGTTTGTATTTGACTCATTTGTTTCTTGTTTTCTTGACTCACTATATCTAAATTGTTTGATTCATTACTCATTGTTAATTTACTTAATTTGTTTTTCAGATCTCGTTTGCAAGAAATAAATGTCTGATTAGAGGATTAAAAACAGAAAGGAAGAAGAAAGAAAAAGAAAAGAGAAGGTACTCAATTGCACTACATGAGAATGATGGTGCCAAATTGGGAAAGAGGTAGAGTTTAAGTGGATTGGAGCAAAACCTCAAACCCATACAAGCCCGCAAAACATCTAAGCCCAATGCCCAATTACAGAATAAGGTGACGTTGTAACTATATATATTATTTTGGTTAACGTTACACGATTAAATCACACAATGGCAATGTGAAAATCAATCAGTCACTGTCGTACAGTGCTTATGAGACTATTCACCGTTAATCATTTCCTTCGCTATAATTAATTTCAACCAAAAGTCAGAAGTTGCGATACCGTTGTATGATTTAGTGGTGGTCATATTATACATTGTGTGAAAAGTAGAATACATTTAATTTTAAAATTTGATCGTTTTACAAAGCAACAGATGTTAATATCTAGTTTAATTATTTTTTTAATAAATAAAAAACAAAAGTCAAAAGATTTTTTTTTTCTTTTTGAACATTTTATCATGGGGCCGGCTCAAACCGTTGCTTTGGGGAGGAGATATGAACCTTACAAGCGTGGTTAGAGCCACTTGACCCGAAGGGTCAGGTTCCAAAAATCAAAAGTTTTATTAAAAGAAAAAGTTTAGTTGTATGATGATATATTTTGAATCAATCATTTATAAATTTAAATAAAAAAATTTTGATTTTTTTAAAATAAAATTTAAAATTTATCTTATGAATAGAAAAATAAATATTTAAAGATTTCTTTTTATAAGATCTAACGTAACTTAATTTTAAATTAATTAAAATTTAATATAATTTTTACAAACTATAATCAATATAAAAAAAATATTTTTAATATGATATTCCTAATTAATTAAAAAGAAAAACCCTTAAAAATCTTTTACATGTCATATGGAGGAATTGTTGACACTGGCACATGGAAGTCACGGCTAAGCACATCCACCTCACCCTGACATCGAAATAACTAGGTTTTGGAAGTGCTACCTTCTTACTAGTTGAGAAATCATTATTTCCAACAAATTTCAAACTTTGAAAACCAGACCGTCACAATACCAGTTAATTGTAACACTAAACTGCAATTGTGAGGTTTGTTGTGCAGATATCAATTTGGAATTCAAATTTGACATTCAAATGTCAACAAGGAAGATGTTGATTAAAATAGGAGAATGTAACAATATTTACAACAAACATAACATCCCCAGCATTCAGCTGCTCCGTTTCTCCAGCACCCCATCACAACAAATAAAAATAAAAATATTGACACTCAGAATTGTAGCAACACCGTGGACCCAAATCCTACGTACCCCCAACAAAATCGTTTACCCAAAAAATGTATTTTTCTTTTATATCCAAAAAAGAAATTAACAGCACAAGAAAACAATACTGAAAACCAACGGCGTTTTTCTCTATAGCTATTCATTTGTCAACATTTAACTTGAGACCCTAGTCAAGTCATCTACCCTCATTGCTCATCTGCAACGATCCATCCCGCATCAATTCTAGACTTAGATTGTTGAAGCGCTCTCGCGAATACTGCCTTGATGCTTTCCTCCAGTCTGTACCTGCCTTCATCATTGCATCAAACTCCTCATAACTTATCCGTCCATCCTGGAAATTCAAGGAAGAGAATTCAGTTTTGTACTCAAAATTTTGAGTTTCCTGTCAGTACATTTTCCTTTAGCAAGACCACGATGCGACGAATGTCAAATGCAGAAAGAAAATTAAGGGGAAAAAGAATGAGAAACATGAGAACAAAAAAGGAAGACAATTCTAACCTTGTCTGTGTCAACATCACGCATAATGGCACTAATGACCTCTTCGCTGTTTGTGTCAACTTCATCAACCAAGGTATCTCTTAGTTCTTCGATCTCAATATACCCACTTTGGTTTTTATCAAAGAATTCAAAAGCCTTTTTAAGGTGCTCATCATTGCCCATCTTTCTCAAGTGAACAGATATGGCAACGAACTCTCCATAATCTAGATATCCATCTCTATCCACATCACCCTATAAAAAAAAAAAAAAAAAATTAACGTTGATAAGCAAATTTTCATAAAACCAATTTGGGAGGAGATGAGCTAAGTTTTTAAGAAAATAAAAAAACAAAACAATAAAGGCACTATAATAAACCATCTCGGCTATCTAAAAGTCATATCACCCATTCAAAGGCTTTGAATCCAAAGATCAAAGTCAAGCATGCTGCAAAGTTTTAGGAATCAGGGTGACTTACAGCTTCCATCAGAATCTGAATATCTGCATCAGGAATACTGTGGCCAAGTTTCTGCAGCCCAACCTTTAGTTCATCAATATTAATCTTTCCCTTGTTGCCAGTATCCATCAGTTTGAATCCTTCCTTTATGCCCGCAACTTCTTCCACCGATAGATGCTCAGCTATTACCTGTTAAATTGACATTTCCAAGAAAACAATAAGAGTAAAGTTAGTGAGTCGATTAACTTGACTAGAAGTTGATTCTCTAATAAGAGATCCAAAACATTACCCTTAGAGCTCTTTTCTTGAGCTTGTTCATTACAGAGAACTGCTTCAGCCTTGCCTTCACAGTTTCACCCAAGGAAACATTTGGCGCCTTCTTTGCATTTTGCAACCAAGGATGATCTACAATTAATAAGCAAAGAACAGTTCAGATACGCCTCTGTTACATTTGAGTTGCAGAGATCTCCAGAGTAACAAAATTTTGCTGCGCCACTAAAATTTCATGGAGAGAGAACACTGCTACTGCATAAAACTGAAAATACCTAGCACTTGCTCAGCTGTAAGCCGACACTGTGGATTAGGATCAAGCATCTTCCTTACAAGGTCTTTTGCGTTATCCGAAACCTTAGGCCAAGGATCCCTCTTAAAATCTATCACAGACTTAATAATTGCTTGTGCAACACCCTGTTCAGTTTCTGCACAGAAAGAAAGAAGATTTAGAGAGGTGGGAGAGATTAATAAACTCAAAGGCAAGTTCAAAAATAGGATAAATTAAACCCAAAAGCATTGTCATATACTTCAATGATTATTTACTAATATAAGAAAGTTAAAGCAGTATAGGTTGAGGTTAAGTGAAGAACATGTAAAATAGTTTTGCCAATATATTACAGTGAAAATCACAAGGGCAGAATTTGTTAGTTACTAGTTAGTTCACTTATGGTGAAAGGTCATGTTAACCTTACATTCTTTCCTATCCTTCCAGGATAGAATATGGGAGGGGCAGAGGGAAGGCTTCATATGTGCTCCTACAGAGCTACCCATGAATGCATCTGGAGCTACAACTCCCACTAAGCAAACAAGGATTCTCATCAAATAACTAACCTGCCCAGAAAGGTGGGACACCACAAAGTAAGATGTAAAGGATCACACCAGCACTCCAGACATCAACTTCTGGGCCATAACGTCGTTTTAACACCTCAGGAGCCATGTAGTATGGACTTCCAACTATCTCATTAAATACTTGCCCTGTAACAGTAGCAATGGCAGGTTAAGAATTTTAAATTTCAGCAAGGATACAAGGAAGGATGGAAACAATAGATAAATAGTAGGGGAAGGGGGCGTGTGGTGGGGGGAGCAAAAGAAAAAGAAAGAAAAAAGGACTCGATTGATGGAAAATGACATTACCAGGCTCAAAGAACACTGATAGTCCAAAGTCAATAGCCTTTAAAGGTGCTGTCTCCCTCTTGTTTGCAAACAAAAAGTTCTCAGGTTTGAGATCCCTATGCATCACTCCATGCTTGTGACACACCTGTAACATAATAGAAATAAATTAAAACCTCAAACTCTTTTTTTTTTTTTTTTTTTTTTCATATGTTAGCTGCTTGGCATTTCAGGGGTTTGAATCCCTAACGTTGATCTCTTGTTGGTAAAACCTCAAACTCATAACCAAAGGCAAATCACAAAGATTTTGTTTTAAATCAATATACAGAAAAAATACTGCAAGAAGAAATGAATACCATCCAGCTCCTAATAAAAATGACAATTAACAAGGTGCACCTATTACTGTCCTAAGGCCAGCCCCACTTGCAGACAACTTTAAGAGTCAAAGAAGCACTTATTAAAATAACAAGTTCTCTTATTAAAATAGTTAATTCACAAGAATCCTTTTTAATGAATGAACTAAGGAAAACAAATTTGATCCTGGTCACAGTAATATATCAACCTTCATGTGTTGAGGGAAACAACAGTTTCTATTAAAAAATAATAATAATATTAATAATAATAGTTTACATAAATTACTGAAAGACTAATGAGTAAAGACAGAATATCAAAGCAAGGGTAAGTGCAAGATTCTCTCAACTCTTGGACCTGATATAAGTAATCAGAAGATGAAAATTTAAAGCCGTCCAAGGAAATCTAAGGATGGATGCTTTCGTATGCTTCAAGCTAAACCATTAAGGTGGGAGGGGATCTAGAACACAGAAGAGAAATGTAGAAAAGGAAGTATTATGGTCGGGAATCCATAATGGAAAAGGTAAAAGCTTAAGTTATCAGAATTCGATAACCTAAAATACTACAAAACATGCCATGTTCTCACCAAAGAGCCATGATTCTCCAACAATAATTCAGAATCCATAAGTTCCATTAACTACTTAAAATTAACCACTTTCAACTTTAAATTTTAAACTAATCAGTTCAAGGCGTTCTGTTGCCCCACCAATCCACTGATTTGGAATTTTCTTGACGTAACATTTAAGTTATCAACTTATACACCTCTACTTGTAGAGGCAGAAAACAACATCCAGATTAATATAAACAAATGATTAGCAGATCCACGCACAAAACCAAAATCAGCACTTGGAACCAATGGACAGGTAAAATCAATCAAACCAATACCAAAAGATGAATAGTTCAGGACACAGAATTAAGGATTCCGAATTAAAACCATAATAATACAAGATTTAAAGGGGAAAAAAATTATCCAACTTACCTGAACAACCTCCACAATGGTCTTTGTAACTGCAGCAGCAGCCCTCTCAGTGTAATGTCCCCTGGCAACAATTCTATCAAACAGTTCACCTCCCTCACACAATTCCATCACCAAATGCACTGCATTATCATCCTCATACGTATCTTTCAAGCTCACTATATTCGGGTGCTTTGGCAAATGCTTCATGATTTCCACCTCTCTTCTCACATCTTCTATATCAATTGCAGTCCTGAGCTTCTTCTTGGATATTGATTTGCAGGCCAAGGCCTCACCTGTTTCCTTATCCGTACAAAGATAGGTGATGCCAAATTCCCCGCGCCCAAGCTCGCGCCCCAGTTCATACGTCTGCTCAATTTCACTTCCAGTTAGGTCCCTCAAGACGCAAAGCTTGTGTCCGCCGTTGCCATGGTGGAACTGACCGTGATCAATGGAGAATGGATTCTGCTTCTTCTTTCCCCCCTTCCTCTTCTCCTCTTTCTCATGACCGGGAGAACCTGATGACGGGGTCACACAGCAATTACCCATGAATCAAATCAACAAAAACCAATACAGACCCTCGATTTTCAAGCCTATGGGTAAATTAAATTCCCGAACTTGAGTGCAAAGATAGATCAAAATCCGATCTTTTGAGCAAAAATCCCAGAAGACCCTTTTTTCCCTTGTTGCAAACAGCTAAGAAAACTCAAGATCCAGCTTCCTTATTCCCAACCTTTTCTTCAAAACTTCAAAACCTTTTCTCCCCAGAAAACAAGAAACTTTCGTAAATTAAAAACACAATTCTGAATTCTCCAGGAGATCTTTCACAAATGGGTAAGTAAAACAAGAGACAAAAAGGGAAGAAATCCGTAGCAAATTTGATGGCGGGTTAAGAAATGAAATGAAGGGAGATTTTTATAGGAGAAAAAGGGAATGATTCTAGGGGAAGATGAAGAGGAAAAAAGAGAGCAACCACCATGAGAAATCGAAGAAGAAAGGGGTCAAAAGTTGCTTCCCGGAGACTTCCTTTCCTTCCTAACCCATTTTTTCTATCTCTTGGGAAGAGAAGGAAGTGCCTTCTTTCGTTTTTTAACCCCACAAATATCCAAAGCAAAATTCAGAATTTTTTTTTTTTTTCAATTACGAAAATGAGCATTTGACAATACCACGACTTTTTTTTATTGTAATAATTAAAGCTGTAAAATTAATGTCATTATCGATGAAAATATATCCCTTTTCTCTTGCAAATAACTTGATATCGCCACTCTAATTTTTTTTTTTATACCATATTGGCCTCCTACAAAATGGAAATGGCGAAAATACCATATTTGCCATCTCAAATTTGGAAATGCAACACAATAATAATATGATTTTTTTAACAAGCAAAATAATAATATTATCATAAGAGAGATGAAATTATCTTGTACACAACTGTTACCCATGAATTTACATAGGATCTTAT